TTTCTTAATTGTTCACAGAGATTTCAGCTTATGCTGCCCTCTGTTTTTAATGTATTTTATTGGTGAATAATAAATAAACCTGAATATAGATAAGTTGGTTTGCCATACTGCTCTAAAGTATATTAATTACTATTCTATGCCCTTATATAGATAGGCCCAGCTCAAAATTTGCGTGGAAAAAATTTGCGAAGAATCATAATTAAGGCTAAATAAAATTGTTAGTTTCATGAATTGTAACATTTTTTTTTTCATTTTGTACTGTATGCCAAGCTTAAATGGAAATTTGTTTTTCTTTTCACTTAAGTGTGCCTGAGAGCCGTTGGAGGTGAAGTTGGAGCTACATCCACCCTCGCTCCAAAAATTGGACCTTTGGGTTTAGTAAGTCAATATTTTCCTCATATGCTTGTGTAATCTGTACAAGTAGAATGCCTGAAGTACTTACTAACAAATATTATGTTCGTATAATAACAGACCTTCATCGTTTACTTTAGTATATTTTATCTGTTGTATAATCATCTTTATCGTCATTATTATTACCCCTCAATCTCTTCATTATTCTCATACATTATATCTTCATTGTCATAATAAAATCATCAATCAACATCCAGAAAATCATTATCATCAGGAACTTGACATCTTTATTGTTAATATCCTTATATATAATGATATTTTTTTTTTTCCGACAGTCTCCAAAAAAGGTTGGTGATGATATCGCCAAGGCCACTCAGGACTGGAAGGGTCTGAAGATCACTGTCCAATTGACCATCCAGAATCGACAAGCAAAAGTCACTGTAGTGCCTAGTGCTTCTTCCCTCATCATCAAAGCTCTCAAGGAACCCCCACGTGATAGGAAGAAGGTCAAGAACAGTAAGTATACCGTAGCCCAAATTCCCTTTTTGTCTATTTGCAATCCTATGCCGGGAACTCACTCCTCCTGATGCGAAAGAATGCCACAATACGTGCACAACAGATCGTTTCTAATGACGATCAACTGAGAGTGCCACCTACAACTAGCGGTCAGTGCCGCATCATTTAGCCCTTTCAAGGAGCGGAGTTAGATTCTGTGTAGGATGGTCATTACAGCCAGGACTGCCCGGCTTATAAAGTAAATAATTTGTTGTACAACACCGGTTCTCAAACTATAGGTCACAACCCAAATTACAGTGTAGCAGGGTTGCAAAATTTTTTGTGGGTCGCAGCAAATTGCTAGAATGTTTTTTTTGGTCAAAAGTTTTGAGAACGGCTGCTGTAGAATTCAAAAGGTCATGTTAGCTTGACCCTGTAAATTCAGTGCTGGTTACTGTTGACAATCATTGATAACAGCAGGAGTATTCTATTAACTTTAATATAAGTATTAGATGCATGCTTCTGCTGGGGGGGGGGCCCTATTTTTAATGTTTAATTCAACCTGTTTTATGAAATTTTATTTTTATTATAATCATATGAAAATATAATATTAGATTTCCATAAAAAAAAAAAAAAATCTTGTAATATGCAAAAAAATAATTCAAATTCTTATGTATTTACTCTTGTAAAGCTCATACAAAATCTTCTCTTTCAACTGACAGTCCAGCACAGCGGTAACATTAGTCTTGAACAGGTCATTGACATCGCCCGTATTATGCGTGAACGTTCGATGGCTAAGGAACTCAGCGGTACTGTGAAGGAGATTCTCGGAACTGCTCAGTCTGTTGGTTGCACCGTAGAGGGCCAAGCACCTCATGATGTTATCGATTCAATCAACAGTGGTGAAGTTGATATACCTGAGGTAATACATTTTTATGAAGCTTTTTCTTTATTAACTTTAAAGCTAAGAATCCATTTGTGCGGTTGCGTTCAAATTTACAGTGCATGTTAAATGGTGCCATCAAATGCGTTTTTTAAAGGCCCTTTTGCATGGATTCATCACACCGCATGGCAGGCTGAAATAAAAAAAAAAGAATGAATCACTCCATAGAGCGATTAAAATATGCCCATACATTTACGGAGACGCAACTAAACCGCACTAATGGAATCGCTTTCGATTAAAAGGCACTACAAACGCAGCCGCAATCACAACCGGACAAATGGATCCCTAGCTTTAGAGGGTAGAAAATGAATAGATTTCTTTTTAGAATAGACAGAGCAGAAAATTGTTAAGATGATTAGGATTTTGCATGGGGAAATAGTAACAGGGGTCTTCCTTTGTAAAACCTCACTTGATAGGGTTTATAGCGTGCTGTATTTGAAGATTGTAATTTCGCGATGTAAACTGGTTCTGTGATCAGATATACAAATGCTTTATATTTACAGTAATTACGGTGGTTAAGGGGAAAAATGTAGATTTAATAAGACGGATTTGTCATTCTAATTTTGTATTAATAATTGTTTTCTTCATAAAATACAGAACAAAATATGTATGTATTTATTTTGTGAAGGATGCCTTTGATAATAATTGTGCTTTTATTTATTTTTTTTCCCCCCAGAATTAAATGATTGCAGTGGAGAGGGGAAATGGCAACATTCGAATCCAGCAACGATAATGCACTTCTATTTCTTGAAGTTTGTAAATAAAAGATGCATTTTATGAAATCAAATGATGTCTTGCACTTTTGTTATTTGAGACTCTTGCAAGGGATATTTTAGTTACCTTTATGACAAATTTACAGTAGCGACTATAGGCCAATGTTTTACAAACTGTGGGTTGTGACCTACCACTGGGTCTGCAATAGAATTTGGTGATTCAAAGAAATACAGTAAAAAAAAAAAAAATTCAAAAAATCAAAAATTTAAGTAAAACCAGGGCTGGCAAAATACACTGAAATGAAACCTGTTGCATAACGTTAACAGAGTAATAGGCCTAGCTCTTCCCAACTTATGCATCTATACATAAGGGGGTCAGTGAGTTGCAACTCGCTTTCAAATTTCCTAACTGGGTTGTCGGTCAAGTTTTACGAAACATTGCTATAATAGGCCATAAAAAAATAGTTAATCGTACACCCCTAACAAAATTCCATATTGTGAAATATGTTGATGAAGATGAATGAAATGGAATAATTCTTCGATATGTCTTTCAACTATAGTAGATGTTGATGAAGATAAGTGAAATGAAAGACTTCATTGATATTCCTTTCAACTAGAGTAGAGTATGCACTAATTAATTGTTAACTTCTTCCATGAAAACCTTGTTGAATTAAATGTGAACACAATTTAATTTGCCAAAGTTAAATCCAAAATAGCACTGAAAAATTGTTCGACTTGTTAATGGGAAACAACTATTTTTCATGCAAAATGATTTAAGTTTGGTGAAGTCAACTGAAGCAAGTTTTACTGTACCCAGAGTACATAAGGTATGGGTGCACAATAATCATTTCCTTAGAAGTTGCAGAATCTAATATACAAAAGCCTCCCTACCCAACATTGATAAAAAGGGCAACAATGTTTTTTGCTTACATTGCATTGTATGTTCAGTAGTTATGTATTGTACCTTTGCAAAGAATCACGAATATTGCAGCACTTTGGAAGGAAGATGCTCATTTTAAATTACTGTTGCAACATTATTAGTTTTAAAGCTGCAGTGTTGATTCGAAAACGGCACTTAGTGAAAAAAAATTCATGCGTGGCGTGGTGCTTATTTGAAAATATGAAAAGTGTAATTGTTGCTGTGAACTGAAAATAACATTCTGTACACTAAAATAATAAGTAAACATTAACTGGAGAGAAATTGGATGATAAAAAATTTATTACTTCACCATACAAGTATGCAATACATCAACTACTGCAAGAGTTAACTGAATTCTATAAGCTGCACCGACTCTATGGAACATGAACCTGCAAGCCAAACCTCCATACACATTAACGCCCCCTACCCTAAACTGTAAACAAATCTAATGGAAGCAACATCATTATAAAACATTTTTACAGCACTGTATGTGTAGTTCCACATTTACACTGAAATTAAAAGGGAGTTTATTTGTGGACAGTATATACGTATCCAAAGAAATTATAAACCCCTCATTGAATAAATACCCTTATTCAAATACAGTACAGTACTTAAAAAACTTGATCCGTTTACTTTTTATCAGAGGCTCTTGATTCCTTGACACTATAAGTACTAACCTACTATGAAATGATACAAGTTTCAACAGCAAACCTATGTTACGGTCTTCATTTATCAACAGACACTAATAACAACCATACCATTATTAAAACTGCTACATTATTTGTTTTTACCCTTTAGATGTATATATAAAACAAATCCACAATTAAATTTGTCCATTTTAATAATCTAGAGTTAATGCACTATTGCTGAATGTTGCTTGCATTGTCACCCCAATTCATTACAGGCTCTACATGTGCATAAATTAAATTTAGTTTTGAAAGACACCAATTTGCCGAGAAAACAAGCCACATTACACCACAGACTACACATGGATGTACCTTCACTAATCCTTCCCAAGGTGTCGCTCTAACTAGGCCTACTCCATTATGTATGGAGATAAAACCTCAAGTTTTATAAGTTGTAGCCCGCTCTTCCTCAAGTAGTCAACCTTTTGTTTACTTCAGATGCATACCTTGACCACAAAAGATCTTTATATATTATTCACTAACCAAATTCTCAGAATAAAATTATACATCATGGAGAGTATTTCGATTGTACTCATTTACTGTACAATACCAAGGCAACGGTTGTGATGCAGTAGAACCAGAGGTGGCACCAGAATCATTGGACCGGACCAACACAAGAACTTATTTTTATTGTGCACTGTACCTGTACAACTACTAAAATTTCTCGAAACAGCTTAAAATGCCCAATTTCTTCAGGCGGAGCAGGGGATTGGCCTCTGGACTCCGTACTAGGACCTCGCCCTGAAGCCTAGAACTATCAGTTGTTGGTGTTTTGCTACAGCATTATATACATTTCATTTTAGGATAGGATGAATACAGTGAAACATTCCATTTTTTGGTACAGGAGGTGCAACATTAGCATGATGGAATATCTTAAAGCTTATTAATACAGGTACCATGCACACACAAGTAAGCCTTCCAACCTGAATACATAACTTTGCAAAATTATACATTTTAGCAAAATCCCACACACTACTAAGCAGCCATCTTGGAAGTTTTATTTCTGATAAAATGTTCAATCGGCCCAAAAATCTGCATTTGATTGACACATGTCAGAAATTGCACATCAATCACATTTAATTTGCTCAATCTTGATCAAGGTTTATCATTGTGTTGCAATAGTATTGTTCGTATTCGCCTTTTCACTGTTACTCGTTCCATCTTCTCCGCCATTCTCCTCATCGTCGTCGTCATCATCATCTTCATTTTCCATCAGCTGCTTGGCCTTCCTGATGTAGTATGCCTCATCATAGTGCTGTTTGCGTTTCAGTTTAAAATTTGATTTTCTTTCTGTGGTAAAATAAAAGTTTGAAATTAAATTTTTTTAAACTGAAGAACAGAATAATATTTAACACCTGAAAATTCTAACCAATCTCTATAACCATATTGAGCAATTTAAAAAAACTCCTTTTACAACAAACCGCAAGAAAACACACATTCAGGGGTTATGTGCAGTGGTGGATATACGCGCAGGGTATTAATCAGTATGTTTTTTTTTGTTGCTTATATTGCAAGGACAGTGGGGCCTCAAGAGGGCACATTAATTAGAACATATATATACATCAGTACACCCTTTACTCGTCAAAAATGCTGGAACAGAATGGGGATTTCTGCGTACCTCACTGTTGTTCCCTAATGCAGCCCCACTCCCTAGGGTAGTAAGCCCAAAGAAGCCTGCGCAATGAGGCTTAAAGAGAAAAAATCTTAAAACATAAAATAAAATACAGGTAAGTCTATTTTTCATACAAATGTCCACTTTGATTATTACCATTATTAAATTATTAGAAATTATTTTAATCAGTATTACTACTTATTATGATCATTTATTTTCTTATATTTAGTACATTTTATTGAGTTTATAAAGGTTTAGGGAGTGGAGTTATTCAAAACATTTAAAAAGACATCCATTTTTCATATGAATGCCACTTATTTTTACCATTATTAAATTATTAGGAATTTTACTATTAATATTATTTCATCAGTAGTATTACCATTTCTTATGACCATTTATTTTTTTTATATATTTTAATGAGTGGATGTGGCTTAGGAAGTGGAGTTATTCAAAATAAGACATCAATTTTGGATATGAATTTCCACCTAATTATTACCATCATTAAATTATTAGAAATTTTACTAATATTATTTTACAGTATTAATACTATTAATTATGAAAATTAATTTTTTTCTGTTCAGTATAACATTCTATTACAATTATTATACCTGTAGATTGTTAATATTTATTTCATCTCTTAAGCTATGTTCACATCAAGCCCGGAGCCGGTCATGAGCCCGGACAAAAAATTGTGAGTTGCTACGTTTTTTGAACGCTGCGTTCACATCGCGCACGGAACACAGTTGTTCGGGTAAAGTATGTGTGCGTTCGATTGGTTCGAACCAACCAAGCTTGTTGCTGATTTGTCCAAGAAAAAAAACGTACGATTTCAGGATACAAAAGGCTCTCAGATCCATTGGTCCGGATCCGGAGTCTGGATTGGAAATCGTACCAATTTGATGTGAACGGTCCTATTATTTACCACTGAACCCATTTTTCCCATGTCCGGACCGGAATCCCGGCTTGATGTGAACGTAGCTTTAGTCTCTATACTTTTTTTGAGAATTATTTTTTAAATTATGGACACTGTACTGTACCTTGTGCTTCCTCCGTCAGAGGTTCTTCCTCCTCCTCACTTGAGCTTTCTTCTCCTGGTTCCTTCTCCCACCACCTTTTTTCTATTGAGCTATTGTTGGAGAGTCTATAAAGAAAAAATATCAAAAATCAAAGTAGAATTGAACTCTTTACATCTAACGTATTGGGTGTACAGTTTTGTTAACTATTTCTTCAAGATTCAATTTATTTATTCCAATAAAATGGAAATAACATGAGTACATTTCAATATTTAAAATACTTTATATAAAAATACAATAAAACAAAATATGCAGTTCAAAGATATAAAATACAATACAAGATAAAACACCAAATACAATTAGATTAACATTAGATAGTAAAATTAAATAAAATACTGTACTGTGATTACTTGCTAGAATTATGATTCACATCATTTTGATTATTTTATTTTTACTATTCTATTACCATCTACTACTACTTTGAACATTTATTTTAAGCTAATAAAATGATTGCAACATAAATGAAATTCGAAACTGCAAACTATAATAGAACAGTAAAAAGCTAAATGAAGTTAAATTTATTTATTATTGTACAATTTGATCGAGTAAACCAGGCACTCCACGACCGTCACACGACTTTCACCTCTGCTACTGATAGACGACAGACGACATAACGGCATCTGCTGATTGTCAGTGGCAGTCCGAACGGATCCTCATTAAAAAAGCGGTCCGTTGGTTCCGCACCGCCACATGCGTTCGTCGGTGTGTTGCCGTTGCGTCACCGTCACGCACAGTGAGTACCCAGCTTTAAATCTCTCAGCTCTAGAAGATCATAATTGAGGAGACCAGGAAATTAACCACTCAGAAAGAATCAAGTGCCATCACACCTTTAAGAAGTTGGAAACTGAACACACAAATGTTAAAAAATTCTATGATTTCTGTAACTTACTTTTTACTCAGCATATCAGATGAAACGCCTCCCTTTTCTTCATCATCACTCACAGGTTCGTTTTCGTCGTCGTCGTCATCAGCCGCGATGTATCTATTGTAAGGCGTGTCTGGTTCATCTATCTTCATGTGTCCGTAATCCTTATCTTCTGGATGATTGGTTGCCAATATATTCATCTCATCCCATTTGATTCCTTCTCTAAAAATAAAGAGAAAACAAATATTATTATGAATATGAATACCACAAACTTTATCGCAATTTTATTTATAAAATTTAAATTCAAGTTAAACACATAAAAATATTTTATCATACAAAGCAGAAGTTAACTACAATATTAAACAAAACAGAACTATGAAAATATATACTGTACGTATAAAAAATAAGCGATGTACAGTACATGATAAGGAAGGTTAGTTAGGGTCGGCAACAGATAAGAACACTCAAGATAACATGTGGTAGCATGTTCAAAGCCACTGCCAAAAATAAAAGACAGGATTGTCATTATTTATTCATTAATTTAAAAATTATTAATATTCATTTATTTATTAATTAGGCCTAGGCCCTCCCCTACCCTAGCCCTGTACAGCAAGAAAAAATATAAAATATGAAATAGGCCTAGGCCTACATACATAGTCAGTGTGAAAGAAAAAAGTTGGAGAGAAGTGGGATTGGATTATTTTGTCTGTAAACTACGCCTTATTATTAAACCACGTCAAGAAGCGTAGCGCCCCCCGCCCCGCCCCGCCCAAGGCCTTGTGGCAAAAAGCAGATGGAGAAGCAAGGCGACGGGAGTAAAGGCTCTCTAAGGAAAGCCTACCTCTCTTTCCCTAGACCCTATCTAGGCCTATACTCAGGCTAGGGCCCACACGAGTAATAAAGGCCTAAATCAATGTTAACTTACTCCAATTTATTGTCTGGATTTTCAAAGTGACCCGGAGGTTTGAGAATACTCTTTTTCGGTTGCTTACTCAATTTTTCAGCCATTGTATCTCAGAAAGAATCTAAAAAATTAGGAATTTAAAAACAACATTCCTCATCACAAATTCCGGGTGCAGTGCAGTGAGAGAGAGAAATGTCAATGAATTTTTGGCTCTTTAAAAAATACCAGATATCATACATATGCGGCCCAAATCAAATTTATAACATCGTGCCAGTTCGGATTAAAACGTCGTTTACTTTCCAACAATTTGTAAACAGGTTCTCAGCTCTGGAAAAACCATGTAATGTCTGGACTTGGATTTCCATTCTTCACGACAAATAACCAACATTTCTGCCTATCACATCGGTATATTTTAATATTGTGATGACCTAAATCATTGTATCTAAGTATGTAAGTATTTATGGTTTTAAATATGGTGGAAAAACTGTTTATTTGTGTGAATTAAATGTATGTTGTTGTTGCGCTATTCCTAGCCGTTGTTGAATCATCTCGTTAAAACAAGAACAACTGGAATTTCCCGATCCTCCCTGGTTGGAGATCGTTCAATCAACATTGGGGGCCTAGCCTAGTTAAGGCTTCGTGGTGTGCTTGTTGTTTTAATGTGTTGATGTCTTTTTAACCAGGTTAGGCCTAACATAGGCTAGGCCTATAAATCTACTAAAAGAAATTATTAATTGTTACTTGAAATTTCCCTGAATTGATAAGTGTTTTTAATAATGTATTCTCTATAACCTAGGCCTAGGCCTACTTTTCATCTTTAAGAATACTTCAGCGTTTTATTTTATGACTGCGACTAAAACATAATAATTTTGTAAAATTTAATTTTAGATTTCAAATAAAAATAATTGAGGTAGGCCTAGCTGAGTCCAAAATGCAAGAAGGTTTAAGCGAACATTGCATGCTAAGTGGCGATTGCCCGGATGAGGGCTGCCAAACCAAGCTGTATTTTCCATCTTACGATAAGAGCATAGAATGTACAAATTGTGGACAGCGCCATGTGAGAGAGGCTTTGCAAAATATCCAGGAAGTCACCAACATGGAACTAGCATTTGAGAAAATGGTTCATAAGCTTTTGGTAGGAAGTCTGACACCAAAGAAGACCACAGATTCAGTAAAAGTTTTAGGACTATCGAACTATCAGTGCAAGTTGCTGAGTCCATTGCTTACCTATAATGGAATGGATAAGCAAGGTAAAGCTAAGCCGCTGGAGAATCTGAATAAAGGCAAAGTCTTTGATTGTGCCATTTTTGGAGACCGTGCATTCCTGATCAATCCAGACCATATTGACATCATGGGTTTTGGCCGCGACCAAACTGGCGGTGCCACTTACCTACAAGAAACGCTTGATGTTATCAAGCGACAAAACAATGACACCGAAGTACTGATACCAGTCCATGCTGATGGCGATGGTCACTGCCTAGTTCATGGTGTATCACGAGCTCTGATTGGTCGAGAACTTTTTTGGCACGCTCTTCGTACTAACCTTAAAAATCATCTGGTTGACAATCTCGATAAGTACCAGATGCAGTTTCAGGATTTTTTTAGCGAGTCTGATTGGGATGCTTTTATCAGAGAGTGTGATCCAGATTTTGTACCTGGACCAGATGAGGTGTTAGGTCTTCGCAATCTACATGTTTTCGGACTTGCAAATGTTCTCCATCGTCCAATCATTTTATTGGATTCTCTAGAAGGTCTTCATAGTGCTGGAGAGTGTTCTGGTAAGTGTACAAGCTTTCTTGGTGTTTAGCAGTGGCGTATCTAGGCGGAGGGGGGGGTGGGGGGTGCACGCCCCTCCAAAAATTACTCCCCCACCCCTCCTTACCCCCAAAAATCACGGTCAAGTAGTTAAAAATCACATAAATTAACCTTATTTTGCAAATTAGTGCCCTCACTGACCATCGAGTCCCCGCACTTCATCTTCGAACCCCCATATCAGCACCCCCATTTGAAGACTGCAAGATATGCCACTAGTGTTTAGTACTTCATTTTAATACTTTAAAAACTTTAAGGTTCTTTTGCTAGACTCTTAGAATTGCTGTGCATTTGCACAATCTGCACTAAAAGGAAGGTGATACTGTACCACTGTTAGTGTTATATGTTACATCACATTTATTAATGTCATACATATTGAGAGGAAATGTGCTCTGCACTACTCTGAAAGTTGCTGGTACAAATTTACACTTTCATTTTTACTGTACTACATTTTGTACTGTATTACATTACAACAACTTACTGGGTAGTTGTGTATGTAATCTTTTTATATAACACAAGTTTAATGTTCACCTTATCACTTTTTATAATTTGTACCTTCTTTATCTAGGCGTGTTTCTACCAATCTTTCATGAAACTGCCGCATGTTCAACTAAAGGGATTTTGAATAAGCCTCTATGCATTGCCTGGAGCAGTTCCGCAAGGAATCACTTCATTGCCCTCGTCGGGGTTAAAGGTTAGTTTCATTTCATGCGATCATTTGCAGCAAATTTTTAGGAAGAAATGTAGGAATTTACTCTATTTACTGCTATTTTTCTTGTTACGTTAGTTTCTTAAACTTTAGAAAAAAGATAAATATGTCATATAAAAGAATATTGGTTCACTCTTTTTAGTTGGGTAAACTAAAAATTCCAGTAACATTTAGAAATTATTCAACAATTTATTATTACTTTAATAAATATTGAAAATAATTTGATTAGGGTGGATGTATGTGGGTCACTATGACCTTCAGTAATGTCCCCATCCCCCAAGATGCATAGTTTTTATAGGCACATGTTTTATTTTTTTGTCTTGTTTTAATTGTACTGTATTTTTTGGGGTGATTAATAGCCATTGATGGCTTATTCAGCAATAAACGATTGAATATATTTATTGTCACTGTCAATATTATTGAAATTATCATTTGCATAATTTGACAGGGCGCCCTCTACCAAAACTTCCCCGTTGGATGCTTAAGAAAGCATGGGGTGTGTCTGCAGACTATATTGACCAATACATTGATTTTGATGAGTCTAATATGTGTACTATTGGAGGAGAGAGGACCTTACCCGTGAGTAGAATACTGCACACCTGTAATTTTGTGAATTGGGTGACATTAACCAAACTTAGGCTTGTGTCAATGGACTTCATTTATGTTTGATTCCATAGGAGAAATATGTGAGAAAGCTGGCAACAGCAATGGAAGAGCTGTTTCTAGAAATTCACAAGATACATCCTTCACTGGTGGCAGATGTACATGATCATATCTATAAGCGAACAGGTAAGAAACAGTAACTGCAGTTTTCTGTTATGTTTTGTGCTACAATTCCCCTTGGCACATTCCTACTTCCATCTGCTAGGCTATGAAAACAAAGATTATATGTGGCAAAGACAAGCCAAACCAGAGATAATGGCCACAACATGCTGGAATTTCAAAGTTTTTGGAAATCTATTTTATTACACTAAACTAACCTTTATATATCTATACATCATGCCATGCCATGCTGTTTATTTTCCCCATTTTAAATGTTAAAACAACAATTGTTAACGATTTGGTGATGGTCTCTGCCTGAGAAATGTCCGAAATCATAAACTTTGAAGTTCTTCATTGGTTCATTGTAGATCCTTTCCATTTAATTAGTGGAAATACTGGATGTGGTGAGCTGACATTGTGCTATCATGAATCAGTTTTTTTCTAATTTTCATTTTTATTGATTTCTATTTTACGTAGTCCTGTCATATCTGAATCATAATTTCATCACTTCCTTTGTTTTTCTATACAATTTATATATATTCATTGTTGTCTCTGCCTGCTGGATGTGGCAGCAACAAGGTGTCAGGTTCTTTTAATGCAAACAATGCAATCTGTTTATAGAAACCATTTTGATGTGTCCTTTTGCATACCCTAGGAATTATTGGAGTCAAACAGGAGAAGATTATTGAAACGACAAAGCTGTCGGTGGAAACCGGACGTTTGTACAGGTGTCTAACGTGCAACGCGGTGTCGGAATCTAACGGTCGCGATCCAAAGATTTTTAAGCCGGGGGGAGAGCTCTATGACCTAGCTGAAAGTCTGCATGGCAAGCTTCAGGTTGATAAGAGATATTCTTTCCTTCTTAATGGTAGGAGTAATTTGATTTTGTTGTATATTTATATGGATTAATGGTTTATTTTTCATGTGAACAAAGCTAACATCTGCTAATTATAGTAGCAGTCTAAACAAATTGTCATTAAAAACAATCCATTGCGCGCATCGTAGCCTTGGTTATCCATTGAATCACGTCGGTTGATGACTGTCAGACGCAAAAAGTGTCCAGCTTCAGAGTTGCCCTAACTTAGAAAATGACTTATCTTAGCAAGAGAGACTTTTTTTCACTTCAAGGTTGATGTATTGTAATAGAGGTTGAGTTTCTCTAACTTAGAGAAGGACTTATCTTAGCTAGAGAGAGACTTCCTTAATTTTAATGGTCGATGTATCATAAAGAATGAGGTGGGGGGAAGGGGTGGTGTTGCTCAACATAAAGGTGTGACATTGAGAGTTTTTTTTATTTTTCATCTGAATTGTACAAGTTTTCAAATTTGTAACAGAAATTTTGAATGAAACTTAGTACAATACAGTTAAATATTGCTACTCATTGTGTATGCGAAGGTAAATGTTATTTAACTAATAATACATTGACACTGACAAGGTTTGTATTTTTATGGTGCCTTTATAAACACCAAATTATATTTTTATACAAAATTGTCTTTGCTATTAAAGGTTTGATTTGTACATATGATGAAGAGAACGATGAACTTGTCCCTGAGGATTCCAGTGAGAGTGGCCATCAATGTCCTATGTGCCGAGGGTAAGTAAAATATTCTGACTGATGCAGCATGATCAGTGCAACCTAATTGGTGCAAACTGATTGTTGCAAACGAATAGTGCAATCTAATTGATGTAACCTGATTGGTGGAACCAGATTGACACAACCTGATTGGTGCCACCTGATTGGTGCAAACTGATTGTTGCAAACGAATAGTGCAATCTAATTAATGTAACCTGATTGGTGGAACCAGATTGACACAACCTGATTGGTGCCACCTGATTGGTGCAAACTTACTGGTGCTACCTGACTGGTGCTATTTGATTGAAACATGGCTGATGCAGCTTGATTGGAACAGTCTGATTGGTGCACTCTTAGACAGAACCTGAATTGATGCATCATGATTATTTGATTCATTAAAATTTTACTTTTTGCAAGCACTGGTTTATTTACTAATTTAGGAGACTAAAGTTTCTTGACTTATGTCCTAATTTTTATGAATAATAATTTTATATGAAAATTACGTAGAGGGTAGAAAAATCTCCCGCCACCATAACTTGTAAGATTTTGGCGGATAAAACAACAGTATCACTGCCAAACATATGGCAAGATAAACAGAAGAACAAGAACTACAGCACATTTTTATGTTTTGCAGAAATGTTGTCCGTTTAGTAAATGCTGATGGATCCGTAGTATATCAAAATGGAGACCGAACATTAACCGTATCCAACAGCACCAAGTGCACGTGCGGTTTTAAGCACTTCTGGGAAGGGCGTGAATACGACAACCATCCGTATTGGTAAGTCAACCTCAGTTCTTGGTTGTTTTCAGGAATTTTTTTAGATTGTGACATTGAAGATCCTAACTGTTGTCTATTCCAGGAAGAATTTCATGTTCTCTAAATTAAATAAATGCGCTGATATATTTCATGCAGCAAACTATGGAATTTTCCCTTTAGGCTACTTCCAATAACTGGCGTAATAATGTGAAAAAGCACTCTGAGACTTAGTTGTATAGAGCACTATATAAAATCCTGTTAATTTTATTATTATTATTATTATTATTATTATTATTATTATTATTATTATGGAGTGTTGGGTATTTATAAAGATAACAATTCTTTGTAATTTTTACAATGGGTAATGTTTTGATATTATGTCTGTTTGACAAAAAAAAAACCCATGTGGTCTACATAACTAAATGCAACACGAAACAGGATAAATGTAAATAAATATGTAATATTTTTAATGAATGTTTATAAATAATAAATGTTTAATTATAAGTAAGTTATATATATAATTTATAATATGCATGTGATTGAGAAACATTAGTTTAGACACTAGTATGCTTCTATCAATACATTTATTTATGAAATCAGTTATTACATGTGAATGTATAATGAGGAAGTAATGAACAATAAAAATAAAATGCAATACTGTATTTGATCTAGGGTTTGATTGGTTTTGTAGTGGAGAAAATAGAAATTTAATATTGAGTGTCAATCAATTCTTTCAGTTTTTCAGTTGACTTTTCTTGGAAAGGACAGAAGATTGAAGAGACTGTTGCCTGGTTTCAGGATGAAAGTGATCCCTCCCTTAATAGCAATGCATTCCAAATTGCAACTAGCCTTGTGCAGAAATATTTCCCTGGTGAATTTGGTTCTGAAAATGTTGTACAGAATTTAGTAGCTTCAATATTGCAGAATGTAAGAGAAAAAACGTTTATTGTAGCCTAATTTTTAAGCTGAGTTTATATGGTTCGCTGTAAATTTTAACATGAATCAGAAAATGTATTCTTCCTTAATAAAAAAAATTGAGTGTTTGCATTCTAAAACTCTGTAAGTGCAGTGGAGTATCTAGTATGGGTGTGGGGTGCATTACCTCCAAAAAAGCTTGTGCACCCTCCATATTTCCCCCCCCCCCATTGAAAATGTCTGAAGCATCAAAATTACACTCAAGTAGTTAAAAATTACCTTATTTGGCAACTGAGTTCCCATAACATAATCATCAACTCCCACTCCACCATCCACCATCAGCCTCTTTCTCTCCCCCCCCCATTTCAAGACTCCTAGATATATGCCACTGTTTATGTGGAACTAAGACTGTAATAGCTAAAGTGGAGTTGTGTTATTCAAAGAGATTAAGAGGTCGGTGGACCCTGAGCATGTATCGCGATTTTTAGCATACCTTTAGGGGACGAAAGTTACAAAATGATGATTTGTGTTTCAAGTAATCTGTGATGCAGTTGTATCCTAAATAAAAGTAAAATTATAAGAAACAGAAAGGATTTTATATTCCTTTAAAATGTTTTTGATCAACAGACTGCAAAGAGGGAACAAGAATCGGCACCCATATCACTATCAGACATGCCTTGTGCAACAGAAGGTGAGCAGACTTCAGGCCAAGCACACCAAGACCAAGCCTCATCATCCCCGAGTTCCAAAGCATCCAAACCATCTGAACAGAAACATAGACACTCATCTGGAGAGGGCGCCCTCTCTCCAAGGAAAGAAATGTTAAAATTCGAGCAAGACACTGCTTCTAAGATTATTTTAACAGGTCAAAAGGTAATATATTCTATCGAATTTGTAAACATTATTTTTGTTTTAAATTGCACATAATAACAAGGCCATGTGTTTTTATTGCAGTTATTGGATCGGCTATGTGGACTGTAGCATATTTATGTGTGGGCATTGGGAGCACACCCTTCCTAAAAATCTTTTTGTTCCCCCTACCCCCCGCTGGATATATATAACCCTTTTTATGAAAATAGATAAACAGGTGATAGCATTTGCAATTAGTCAGGGCGCACCCCAGCGATAAATTTAGACTAATTTTAATTATTTTCCATAAAAATTACATTTGGTATTCATTAAAATCTTAGAAAAAGACACTTCACAAAGAAGAGCTCACCATGAGCGAGGCAGAGCAGTCCTTGCAAAAAACAATCACATGCAATGCAGAAAAGCAGCAATCCAAAGCCAGTTCCACGACCAAACGTCAGAGCACACACGACAGCCAGCATCAAGTGTTCCCGAAGAAAGCAGACACCAAGCAATCCGAGGAAAGAACTACAAAGAATGATTCTACCCAATCAAAGTCCATTGATATGGAGAGCTCAGACAACGTGAAGGACACCCTCATGACCAGTGACGGAACCACAACAAAAAGCGATCTCGAACAAGGAGCACGCAAAAAGGTTCCAATGAACAAAATTCGCCTAACCTCAGATGGCGTACAGGTACTATGATGTCATTTTTTTCAATGGTTATATATTTTTTTTTAAGTGTAGATTTCTTTTAATTGTTATATGTTAGAAAATTAAGTAAAAAATAGCAGCTTTAGTTCGGGAGAGATGGAGGGTGTGGTTAACATGAACCTGCCAATTGGCAGATCTCTTAATGATGATAAAAAAAAATAAGCTGCAGCATCATGCATCAAACTCACATTATCACAATAATGAATCATGTAATGCCTTCTGTCTGGACTAAATCTGCACTTGTTGTTGCTAAGATACAGGATTTCACTTTAAATTCTCATATTTTTTTTAACAATTTCAGACAACATTAACCATAGCAACTACCACCACTTTCCACCAGTTTCAGCAACACATAGAGGACGCTCTTCACATACCTGCACCACAGCAGAGAATCAAATATGGTTATCCACCGAAGGAAATGAAGCCACCGCAAGAGGGCGCTGAACAAGTTCCTCTTTCATTGCAAAATGGAGACAGAGTAATGGTTGAAATTATAAAAGGTTCAGCCATCTTTAAAGGTATAACAAAAAAAGAAAATTTATCTTCAAAAAATACCCTGACAAAAAAACTGTTGTATGCCCATATATAGTCATGATGTGCCTATATATGGTCATGATGTGATGTCATCATCACCATATTTAGGCATGTTGTTTTCAAATTGATAGTCTAACTGGCTTAAGATGTTCAACAAATTTTGAGAGAAAAACGCATTTCTTATCCGAATTCCAACTCAATACCCTCATAACGTGGCGAGTTGATTGGCCGAGCAGTTAAGTCAGAGGCACCGTAACCTTCAGCTATAATATCGGCTCTGGTTGAAACGGCTCACTTGCCAATGGTTCCGGTGGTGGGACAAGTCTTCTCGGAGAAGGACTTTAAATCGTAAGCCCAGTGTACGCATTTGGCTCATTTGGAACCCAGTACATCCTTTGATAGGTGTAGGAGGTTACCCCAGTGTACCTGTCCATCCAGTAACCCCGTTTAATAGATATGCCACGTAGGATAGTGATTCAGTTCGCTGACTGGCATATCATTTGCCTAGGGAAATGAAATGAAAACTACAGTTTTGAATACTAAACACTGACATTGAAAAACAATTAGTTATCATAGGTGAAATTTGTTATCTGAGCTCAAATTAAAGGAGATCACTTCATGAATATATTTTAAATCAGTTGTAAGCCCTAGTACCACCTGGCAGGGAGTAGAGGGCCCACATACCTAACCGTGTCATGCAGGCCAAGGGTCACTGCCAGACTAAAATATTTTCAAACATAATACATTCTAAAACATCTTAGAAGAGCTAAAAATGTCCCAAAATTCCCCATTTTCTCTAGGACCATAGATCTTTAAATCCCCACTATACTGCTTTACTCCTGGAATCCACTGGCCTTCAACCAAAATCAACAGACCCTGTGTCTGACAGCTGTCTCTTATACACATCTAGATGTGTATAAGAGACAGGAAAAAGACACTTCACAAAGCACATCTTGATGTGCCTATATATGGTCATGATGTGATGTCATCATGACCATATTTAGGCATGTTGTTTTCAAATTGATAGTCTAACTGGCTTAAGATGTTCAACAAATTTTGAGAGAAAAACACATTTCTAATCCGAATTCCAACTCAATACCCTCATAACGTGGCGAGTTGATTGGCCGAGCAGTTAAGTCAGAGGCACCGTAACCTTTAGCTATAATATCGGCTCTGGTTGAAATGGCTCACTTGCCAATGGTTCCGGTGGTGGGACAAGTCTTCTCGGAGAAGGACTTTAAATTGTAAGCCCAGTGTACGCATTTGGCTCATTTGGAACCCAGTACATCCTTTGATAGGTGTAGGAGGTTACCCCAGTGTACCTGTCCATCCAGTAACCCCGTTTAATAGATATGCCACGTAGGATAGTGATTCAGTTCGCTGACTGGCATATCATTTGCCTAGGGAAATGAAATGAAAACTACAGTTTTGAATACTAAACACTGACATTGAAAAACAATTAGTTATCATAGGTGAAATTTGTTATCTGAGCTCAAATTAAAGGAGATCACTTCATGAATATATTTTAAATCAGTTGTAAGCCCTAGTACCACCTGGCAGGGAGTAGAGGGCCCACATACCTAACCGTGTCATGCAGGCCAAGGGTCACTGCCAGACTAAAATATTTTCAAACATAATACATTCTAAAACATCTTAGAAGAGCTAAAAATGTCCCAAAATTCCCCATTTTCTCTAGGACCATAGATCTTTAAATCCCCACTATACTGCTTTACTCCTGGAATCCACTGGCCTTCAACCAAAATCAACAGACCCTGTGTCTGACAGCCTTGTCACCACCCCCCACCCACCCTACCCCACCCCACCATGTACTGTATACCTTAGATTCTGTCCTGATTGTAAAGCCAGTTTTCCTTAAAATTGCTACATGTCGCTACACTGTTTTCACTGAAACCATTCACGATTTTAATGGCAATCCGATGCAATCGGGAAGCCTCCCCGATTCGTGCGACCAGTCAGCATCACCGGAAGCTGTCAGCGATAGCATGTAGCGATTGTATGAAAACCAAGCTTTAATTGTACCCTTTTGTTTTTCTTCATCTATCTATATTGTTTACGTATTTGTACAGAGGTAATAGAACCAGCAGAGCACCCTATGGAGACAGAGTCTGAACCGAGTCAGGATATAGCGCATATCACCTTGGCTAACACCATGCTACAGAAGCTTCAGCAGTCTGCAGGTTGGCATATTCACCATTATTTTACTCTGTTGGCGCTCCACATTTCTAAATTTGTAGTAGAGGTCATCATTATTTTCATCTTAATATTCATAATCATTCTCATCATCATTATAATCATCTTCATTATCATTGTCATTATTATCCTCATTATCATCATCATTAATATCATTGTGTTCAGTATAATAATACAGTATATACTCGAGTATATGAAAAAGTTTAAAATAGTAAATCATTAAAAAGCAGGTGGTCGTTTTATACACGCGTCATACAAATATTAGATTTCTGGACTTATGTTCTTCCGTGGAGGTGGTTCTTCTTATAAGCAGATCGTTCATAACATGCAAATTTACTACTGCAATACACCTACTAAATGTTAGTATGAATGAACGCAATTTTAAATACTGGGAAATAAGATCTTTATTAACATTTAAAAGCCCGTGTTTAGCCAGCTAGATGCAGTATTAAGACAATGAAGAACAGCAAAAAGCATGAATTCTGATGATGAAACGTGGGTCGTCTAAAAACCTTCTCAATAACGGGGTCGTCTTATACACGGGTTGCCTTAAGCCGAGCAGTCACTGCGTTGTACAACAGTCGGCCGATGAATCAAACTCCACTTCATTTGAGCGCTTGAAAATGAGTATATACGGTGGCTAGATTTGTACAGCGCATCATGCACGAAAAACAGCCTACATCAGCGTGGTAAATTACCTTCACTTCTCAAGATATATTATTATTGTTATTATGATTATTTTTTTTAAATTTTATTATTATTTTATTGTTATTTGCTTTTTCTCAGTTGGCCTATATTATTTCTCTGTAAAGCGCATAGGGGCAATGTGCAATATGCGCTATATAAATGTAACATTATTATTATTATATACTATGGTTGGAGACTAGTATAATGCAAAATACATGGTCAATGTACTGTGATATAATGAAGTAAAAAAAAAATATATACCATCATCATCATCATTGTCGTCATCATTGTTATCCATCTACTCTGATACTCTCCTTATTTAAAACTAAATCAGTTAATGATTTTAAAAAATGTCGGTAAAAATATGCTTTAGGGTATAAGGTCAATTTCTTACTGTGTTTCTTTCTTCAGCCGATGACATTGATATACAGGTATCGTCCCTGGCATTGATGGCAACCTTATTGGAACAGGACTTGTGGGATTACGTTCAAACTCGACCAGAACTGTTTCAGAAGGATGGACTTTATTATAAATTGATGGAAAGGGATCTTGGATTGGTCGACAAAAAGCACTTCACTTTACCAAGCATAAATAATAAGGTAATGTATGATGGCACAATATTATATACCTTTCCAAAGTGTCAGTCAAACTTTACAAATGACTAATCAGAACAGGTCTAGAAATATGCACTTGTGGAACCTAAGAAACTAATCCAAGGGGTGGGAAAATACAAGGAATATTCTGTAATTCCTTGACAATGTTGCTGTTTTGAAATTTAAATACCTTGTTTTTTTTGTTATAATTTTTATTGTATATCTTTACATTTAATACATTTATAAAATACTACTTTAATCTTATGGAAAGAATAAATTATATTAGCATTTATCTAGCAAATTTCTCACAATTCGGAATAATTTTTATAACAAAGCTAAATATACGTAAAAACTCCAATGTTAAAAACCACAGAAATTTTCTATTTAAAATCTGTTCTAATCAGCTTGAAAATTGTCGAAAGTTTATTCAAATAGTATCAAGAAAACTCTACTGTATTTGTCCAGCATAAACAAATTCCTCTATAAAAAAAATAATTAAAAATTTTCTCTTAACAGAAATTTGTTTACAATGAGGAAGAAGATCAAGTAGAAATCTGTTTGGAACCCATCGGACATTTTGCCATCACATCCGGAGTCGATGACCCACAAAGGCTGGCGAAACTTATGCAAGAGAGTCTTTCCACCACGTCTGAAAATCAGAAATTTGACAAACCACAGCTCCTGATTGGAGGAAGTGGAATGGTGAGTTCCAGCCAATCACATTCCAGGTATGTTGCATTTGGTGGCCATGGCCACACTCTAGCGTCCACATCTGAAGATATCAGAAATGATACGTTGGATGATCTGCCTACTGGTGCGGAAGAAGAAGTACCGAAAAACGAATCTGAAACAATTGCGGTGGAAAGAAAACCTGGAAAAAATGATAACGTAGAGAATGAGAATATGGATACTGGATGCGGGTCACCGGCTCCGGGGTCACCAGTACCAATGGACCAATCAAATAGTTGGTGCGATCAGGAGGACCAAAACTATCTTAAACCTAAAAAGTTAGGTCCAGCATTTACTGTCCTTACTGAAGATAAATAATATAAATTTAATATGTACTGTCCGAGATAATTTGAAAATGTTCTGGATTGAGTATGTTTAAGCCTGGTTGCCATAAAAGTGCTACGGCATAGCGAATCTTAGCGAGTTTATGGAAACCTTTAAAATTGTTGATCATGCTCACTACTTGGCCTAGAATATAGAATATCTCTAGCCCAAGATTGCTTCTCCCTGCCAGGCCTACCTTTGATAGTATCGTTGGTGGAGTAGGTCTACATATTGTAAAGAAACTATAGTTTATTCATGGAATGATAAACTGTTTAAACAACTAGGCCCAGTGCATTAGTTTTCTATTTAAAAATATCTTTAAATTCTTGTATGACCTTGTCATACAAGCAGGGGTGGATCCAAAATTTTTACAAATGTGGGAAGGGGGTTCACACAACATTTTCTGAATATATAAGTGAGTAGCGCTATCTGGAGATTTATAAATAGTAAAAATTGAATTACACTAATTTTTTTAATTTGAATATTTATTGCAATTCGTTGAAGCTGTTTTAAATTATTCCTCTGTGCATAATTTATCAGAAATATATTTATATATTTTTGGAACACAATATATAATTAAAATAATAATAAATTTCTTTGTATATAATTTTTAACACCCACAGTTATCATATTTGTTTTCATTTGTGTCAGGAACCAGGAGCTTGTATAATTTGCACTGTCAATCAATTAACATATCAATCAATCAGACATAAACATTTATGTATAGCCTTGCTAGTTATTTTACTGGAGGGAATCAGACAAGGCAATATTGATTTATTTAATTCTTTGTACAGTATTCCATATTAAAATGAAATTTACTGCTTTTATTCTGCAAATAATACTTTACAATAGTGAATACAGGCCTCCCTCCAATTAAAGGCCACTTTTTGGGACCAAGGTTTCCATGCAATGGATTGCTGTGGTCTTGGAATAATCAAGATAGTTGACATTTGTTTTGGTCTGTACTTAGAATAATAAAGCTAAAAAACGTCTTGTTAATTTAGGACCACAGAAAGTGGTTTTTAATTGGAAGGGTCTTTAATTAATGGGAAACCTGTATTATTTTTATTATTATTATTATTATTATTATTATTATTATTATTATTATTATTATTATTATTATTGAGAACTAATACTACACTTATGCAAAACTACAAACATTTAGAGATAATTTATTTGAATCCAATTGACTCAATTCTTAACAAATTGACTGTCATCAATGAATATTCTTGTGGTGTACAGTGTAATTAGACGCACCACTACAAGTTTGTTTATCATAAGTATCTAGTGTTGGTTTCAGAAATTTGCTGACAGTGGTGCAAGAAGACCAACATAGTCCAAATCCATGGTCAATCTCCATGCGTATAACCCAGAGTATAACCACTGTTGGGATTCAGTGGAAATTTTTTTTAGCCCTAGAAACACCGGTTGATTGATTAATAGGTCTTTTTTAGATCTACTGCCTCTATTATACTGCCCTCATGATGCTGATTGATTAATAGTTGATTAATAGATCTTTTTAGATCTACAGCCGCTACTATACTGCCCTCATGAGGAGCTCTAGAAACACTTGGCTGATTAATTAATAGATCTTTTTTTAGATCTACTGCCTCTGTTATACTGCCCTCATGAGGCTGATTGATTAGTAGTTGATTGATTAATAGATCTTTTTGAGATCTACTGCCTCTACTTTACTGCCCTCATGAGGAGCTCTAGAAACACTTGGCTGATTGATTAATGGTTGATTGATTAATAGATCTTTTTGAGATCTACTGCCTCTACTATACTGCCCTCATGAGGAGCTCTAGAAACACTTGACTGATTGATTAATAGTTGATTGATTAATAGATCTTTTTTAGATCTACTGCCTCTACTTTGCTGCCCTCATGAGCGGCTCTAGAACCACTTGGCTGATTGATTAATAGTTGATTGATTAATAGATCTTTTTAGATCTACTGCCTCTACTTTGCTGCCCTCATGAGCAGCTCTAGAACCCCTTGGCTGATTGATTAATAGTTGATTGATTAATAAACCTTTTTTTTTGCTTAACTGCCTTTATTGTAGGCCTGCAGCTCTCATCGGCGCTTTTGAGATTATGGCCATTTGTATATTACTGTGGTAAATATTGATTTTTCAGACCAATATTTGGAGCTGCAATTGCCATATTTATATTGATGAGATACAGAGTTTTTTAAATATTTAAAAACTGGGGGAAAAGATGGAAGAAAGGGGTGGTTACACCCCCTTAAAAGTTAAGTATCTCATTAACTGTTCCCGTGTTTTTCTTCAAACAATCTTTTTGTGTCGTAGAAAAAAATCAGTTGTGCAACAGTCTTTAAAGGCTCCAGGCTTGTTGTTAACTAAACACTAATCTTAATCCAATCAATTGAGAAGTATATAAGTTTGTAAATGGCATATGAATCTGAAACCTTAAGCACTGAAATAATATAGAATCTCATTTAATTTTGGTACCTGTTGTATAAATATTGTACAATTCAATGTAAGCTCTAATTATGATGTTGTACTCTAGGGCATTCACTGTATGCAAAAACTTAGATTATCGTCTTAATGTCTATACCTTAGGGACCTACTGGATATATAGCTGGGTACTGTACCCAACGTCTATGATATTAATAATGCAAACCATATTGGATATATGGTAAAAATATGGTATGATTATGTATATCATATTAGATGATAACAATATAGTATGGATATGTATATTATATTGAATACAGTAGAACTCCTACTAAGGGGACACCTTCAGTACCAACAAAAATGTCCCCTTAATAGGGGTGTATCAAAGGAGGGGTTCTACTGTATATTGCAACAGTATGGTATCAATATGTATATCATGTTAGATATATGGCGAGAATATGATATTAGTATGCAATCCATATTAAATATATGGCAGTGATATCAGGGACGTAGGCTGGTTTTGGCCTGGGAGTGTGAAAATTGAGAATGCAGAAATAACTCCCTTTTCCAATGAAAACTTAATGGTCGTTTTTAGTATTTTAACCCACTTAGTGGATGGTGCATCCACACCCCTCTAGCTTAGCCCATGGATGATATCAATATATCATGTTGAATATATGGTAACAATAATGAATACTCCAGATATTCATACCCTATTATATATACAATTCATACACTTGACAAGGGGTACAAACATGCATATGATTACCGTTATTAGATCTATGACAATTTTATACACTAGATATATTGCAACAGAAGGTGGTATCATTATAAATTGGCTATCAGCACTATGTGCATACAGTACTGAATATATTATTATGCATTAATATCATACTCTATTGTGTTATTAATGTACGTATTATATAGGATATGGGGCAATATGCATGCGATGTAATTGATTAATATTCATTATTACACATGAAGTATGCCAGACGGTATACCCTTGATATGATCAATCATAGTTCTCTATATCAAAATATGGCAGTGTTGGCGCCAGTGTGATTGGGGCCGGCAAGAACTGTCCCTCCCCCGCTGGCGCTACCCCTGCACAGGAGGAATAATAAATTGTGTGTAATTTTTATAGAAGATGAGATTCTAAATCGATAAATAATTTAATAGCGTTAACATACAAAATAAAACCATTTCAGAACCAAATAAAGACCCACAGCACATGTAAAAAGCATTGGTTTAGGCCTAAATATGTTTGGATTCATTCCTTTTATTAGTGATTTAGGCCTAGATGGCTACAAGGCAGGGGTATGAAAACATATATTTAACTTAAAGCCCGTCTTGGCCATGTTTTATAAAAACTAATAATTTTCAATTTACTTTATTGTGCAATTATATTAGTTTCTATGATTGTCTGTGTAGACAGACTCTGTATGAATATGCTTGTATTATAAAATTTAAAAATAACTCTGTTACAATACAAGGTGACTTGAGGTGATTTTATAAAGAAAATAATTATGTACACAGTAAGTAAAATATGCATGTTTCAATAAAAGATAGCAACATTGTGAATACATCTTGTTTCTGTTTTTATCGAATATTCTTTTCATAATAGGTTTTGTTGTTATATTCTTATATATACTTCATTTCTTTTATAACTGTTTGCTTCTTATTTTTGTGAAAACTGAGGCCGATTTTAATCTTAAAATGCTAAATTTCAGGCCTTAACTTAAGATACACAAAAAGTAGCTCGTCATGCCTTTGTTTGCCCAACAAAGTAAAAAAAAAACACCACGATCAACGGACAAGAAGTGATTCATTTATGAATAATTGTATTTTATTTCAAACGTTTTATCTTCGAAAATTCGTTTATAAATATGCAGCATAAGGTCTTTATTGGAAGTAGCACAAATGATGCCTAAAGTAGTTTATTTACAATATTATTTACAGAGTTCCTAGAATCTCAATTCGGTGAAATTGTTGCACTGGTTTTCGAATATTTGTGTTAGACTGAGGGACCCTGGAAACCTTTCATCTTCGAAAACTCTTTTATAAATTTTAAACAGAATATTAAAGTCTGTATTGGACGTAGAACATAATGTCAATATTTACAGTATTATTTTACAATATTATTTACATAGTTCCTAGAATCACAAATCGACGAAATTGTTCAGCTTTGGTGTCGAAAAGGTTGTATTGGACACATGGACCAAGAGACATGTTGGCGATTTTCCCGAACAGATTCTGTCTTCCTTCCACTGTGCTCTCCGGCCAAACCCATCACTCCTACGTAGGTAATTCATCAAAGGTCTATTTTCTTTGCTCTGCAGTCTGCATGAATGTTGTATGCAGCAGTCATTGCATGAATGAATGAATGAAGCTTAGATAGAAATAGTCCACGGCACACGATAATGATTCGCCGGAGTTTTTGCCTGAAACAACTGTAAGTGAAGTAAGTACAGTAATCACAATAAACTCTCTCCTTAAAATGGCAAGTAGGGCATTTCTACATCTTCGTCATCAAGTAGTTGGCAGACAGTAGCAATGCCATTGATATGTGATTGGTAATGACGTGCCTTTTCACTGATAACCTTATTATCTGCACCTTCGAAGTAGCCGTTATCAAAATTCCCAGATGGCACATAAGGCTTCTCAGCATCTTCGTCATCAAACAAACGACGGCCGGTAGCACTGCCATTGATACGTAATTGGTGACGTGTGTTTTTACTGGCGACATTGCCGTCATCAAAGTCCACAGAAGGCACATAGGGCATTTCAACATCTTCGTCATCAAACAGACGACGGACAGAAGCATTACTATTGATATTTTGGTAGTGACGTGTGTTTTTACTGGTAACCGTGTGATCTTCACCACTGAAGTAGCCATCATCAAAATCGTCAGGAGGCAGGTCGGGCATGTCAACGTCTTCGTCATCGAACAGACGAATTGCAGTAGTATTGCCATTGTTGTATGATTGGCAGTAAGTTGTATTATGACTGGTGATGCCCTGATATTCGCTGCTGAAGAAGCCATTATCTTCCAAATCTCCAGATGGAACGTATGGCATTTCGACATCTTCGTCATCGAATATACGCAATGCTGTGAAGTAACCAGTATCATCAGAAGGCATGTGTGGTAAAGCGTCATCGTCATCGTCATTGACAAGCTGATGGCAGGCAGTAGCAGCAGATGGTTTTACTCCATTGCTGTT